CAGTACTATTAAGATGTACCTAATAAAGTGGCCGGTGTTTGTATAAAGACTTTTATTTACTAAATTCCTAAATAAATTTCTTTAAAACAAAAAAATAGATAAAGCAAACAAACTGTTAGCATTTGCAACAGCATGTGCATTTCAGCAGCAGGTTAACAGTGGAGACCCGAGTCCTGTAGCTTCCATTCAGCTCAGCCTTTGGTAGAGCCTCCCACTGTGAACTACTGTTCCTTTTATTGCAGATGTGTTTTTTGTTTAGTTAGCAGCCTGCGAGGTTTTGATGTTTTTATTACCTCTCGCGGGTCGTTCGTCAGCTAGAGGAGCAGCCACCCAGCAGATGCCCCAATGCTACCGCCACACAAAAATCTGTCTGTGGGAAGAGCTCGCAGCGGCTGTCTGGACGTCACACTGCGCTGCACTTCGGCCTAATTTAAAAGCCCCAGCAGACCCCTTTTCCCAACCCCTCTTTTTTTAAGGCCCTCTCCGCCAAGAATTACATTTTAAATCAATTCTTTTTTTTCTGACATGCAAAATAAATCGTACCATCGATACAGCTTCTATAAACGCTTATTACTGCAAATACATTTTGCATGCTAGACAAAATAGGGAGGAAGGTTTGGGAATATTTCTAATTCACCCATTCATGCGTAAAAGGCACTGGAAAGAATAACAATCCCCGCACAGGACTGGAGTGTTGTATATCAGAGCCTATTCACACAGGTTTTGTGAAATATTGAATCTGTACGACCTGAGAATATGGCGGCTAATGAGGCATTACCTTTCAGTTGAGTAAAGTGTTATGCAAGATAAAACATGGCTCTGATGCATGCTTATTTCTTTAAGAATGCTCTATAAATATATATATTAATGCATTTGTATGTGCATGATGTTACAGGGGAAGAGATGTTTTCTTGTCTAGAAGCGAAACCTGGCCTGGAGCTATGGCATGACATCACAGTGTCGCTGAGAGTTGCCAATCTAAAGTAAAAGAGACTGATTTATTATCCAACAAACCTGAGGAAACTTTAGATTCTGGCCAAATACTTTCCAAGCGTTTCAGGTGGTGTGTGTATGTCTACACGGCCACGTACACACTGCAGTGAAACACTCCACAATGCTGTTACTCAAATGTCTAAGCTGTTCTGAGTTTATTCACAGGAGTCACATCGGAGCTTTAATTCAGTTTTAGGAAAGAGCAACTGAACAATTAGATACAGGTTTGATAGAAAGTGTGAATGCAACAGGAGTTTATTAATAACTGATGGACAATAATAAAACATCTAGTCAGTGTAGATGAATATTGCTTGACTGAATCACAAGTAGAGGAAGGAGAGCCATTTCTGTTTACACCTGTGGGCTGTTACATGAAGCAATTTGACCAAACTTGGAGTTGCAGAAAGGGTTTAAAGTCTGACAAAAAACAAAACAACTGGCTAGCCAGTTAAGTTTCAGTTTAGCTTGCATTAATTCTATGTTTTAGGTACCATGAAGTTAGCTTAGGTGCTTTATAATACCATGGAAACAACGAGCAATTAAAGTTGAGATGGGTAAAGGATACAGCTGCGGATACACACATCAATACAGCATCATTTTTGACACTGTATAACAAAAAATTATATTTTTACAGTACTGTGATGGTTGGGTTTAGAGTTGGGGTGGGATAGATGCTAATAAAATACAATTCATTGGGTAATTTTAATAAATAACAAATAATACTTGGTACAACTACTGTTTTTACATTACTGTGATGGTTGGGTTTAGTTTTGGGGTTGGGGTAGACGTTAGAAAAAACAATTTATTAGGTAATTTTAATAAAAACAAATAATACTTAGTGTTATTAATGTTTTTACATTAATGTGATGGTTGGGTTTCGGGTAGGAGTAGGGGTAGACAATAATAAAATACAATAGGGTTTATGCGGAAACATGCTAAAGGAATTTTAATTCGTCAGTTACCTGGGTTAAGCGCTTCTGGTGAACTGTGTGTCATTATAAAATCGGCGCGTTTAAGGTCTGTTTTTCTTTCCATTGGTTGAGTAATATCTGATATAAAGTGGGTCTTAGATTGTACTATCTATCATCACATTTTCCTCCGCCATGTCTTTCAAATATGAACATTTATTTAACCCCAGTATATTCAATGGAGCTTCTGTGTTAGCCTGCTGATTCTGATATTTTTATTACATTACAATGTCGATGCTGTAAAAGGAACCGTATAAAAATGGAAAAATCCGTTCGCCGGAAGTTTATCAGTATGGGAAGAAACACTAGCTCTGCATATATCGCATTAATGGGAAATTTAATAAATAATCTAAATAAATTTCTTCCACAACTGTATTTAATCTAGCAACAACTGCCTTCATATTTCCTAACGCCCGAACTAAACTGAAACTTAAATTGCTATCTATCTATCTATCTATCTATCTATCTATCTATCTATCTATCTATCTATCTATCTATCTATCTATCTATCTATCTATCTATCTATCTATCTATCTATCTATCTATCTATCTATCTATCTATCTATCTATCTATCCATCCATCCATCCATCCATCCATCCATCCATCCATCCAAATCACAATATTGTAATATGTAAAGTAAAAATACAAGAAATCCTATTTTTTATGTAATCTTCACTGAAATAAAGGGCCTGAAACCTTTACAAGGGGTTCAAAGATATTTTCTTTAGTGTAGATTTAAGTGACTAATATCCTAAAGGGACAGTTTACCCAAAACTAATAAGTCTGTCATCATTTACTCACTCTTTGACTTGTTCTAAACAATTTTAGCTGTTTTGTTCTGTTGAACACAAAAAAGATCTATTAAAGAATGTTGAAACCTGTAACCATTCAGGAAAACCAACACTATGGAAGTCAATGTTTTGAGGTTTCTATAATTATCCAAAATATCTACTTATGTGTTCAACAAAACAAAACAAAACAAAAAAACTCTAACTGTTTAGGAACATCAAGGGTCAGTAAATCAGTCAAGGGTGAGTAAATGATGAATTTATTTTTGGGTGAACTATCCCTTTAAGAAACTTAAATACTTATACATAAAAAATACGCTCTAAAGGTAAAACTAAATACATTTCTAAATAGCTACTTGAAAGCATAACGCATGTACAGATAGCCTACAACAAATATGGAAAGTTATTGTGCATAATATATAAAAAAAAAACTTTAGTCACACTTTATTTTGATGGTCCATTAGTTGAATTTAAAATGCAATGCATCTACATGCCAACTAATCCTCATTAGATTATAAGTAGACTGTTAGGTTTAGGGTTAATGTAAGTTGACATGTACTTGCAAAGTTTCTTATAGTCAGTTAAATGTCTGTTTAGCAGCAGTATCAACATATATTAAACAGACAGTCTACTAATACTCAAATGGTCCATCAAAATAAAGTGTTGCCGAAAACATTCATTTAATTCATATTGTATGTCCTTTTTGCTCACATGGCTAAGGTAGGGAATGTATTTATGATTCTATATTTTTTCAATTTTATTGCAAGTAAATTTACATAGAAGTACAAAGGAAGCCATTTTGAAGGAGGGTATTTTGACATTTTTCAGCCAATTTCAAGTTCACCTCAAAGATGAAGTCAAAATGATTAGCCCCCTGTATAATTTCCCCCAGTTTCTGTTTAATGGAAATATTTAACACATTTCTAAACAGCTTTAATAACTGATTTCCCTTACCATGATGACCTTACATCAGGGGTCTCAAACTCAATTTACCTGGGGGCAAAGTCTGGGTGAGGTTGGGCCGCATAAGCGATTTCACACAAAAAAAAGTCCTCAAATGTCATTATTAACAGTTTTAATTATTTCTTCTGAACATGAAGTGTCCTGAACATTAATAGAACATTGAGTGAAGATTATGAACAGTTCTTCTGAACATGGCATCTTTTGCCTACTTCTTGCTGCCAGAGACTTGACAGCGCTTCTTCTCACAAATCTGAACCACATTTGGCTTTAGAGCGGAAGCAGTTGAGACCCTCAATATGGCTTGAAGATGATCATCATTAAGTCTAGACCTGTACTTTGACTTATTGAAGTTCAAGGTGGAGAATAACTTCTCACACAAATATGTGCTCCCAAAAAGGCCAAGTCCTAGGGAAAAAAGTGGGGGAACTCACTCAAAACTTCCATTCCCTCACCTAAAAAAAAAGGCGTATATATGTATAAATAAAACACCCCCACCCCACTCCAGTCACATCAGTCTGTATCTACCTATAATATATATAAGATACAGGCTGTGGCTAGGTAGCTAAGTGGCAGGCAGGGGCGGGAACAGCTTACCTTGGTTCTGGCCGGCGCGAGTTACCTCCTCACTTCCCGCCTGTCACAGCGTCTAACAAAGGGGCGGGGTGCGTGGCGACGTCACCGGCATCCCCGCCCCTTTGTTTACACGGCCACAAAATATTGCACCGAGGGCCGCAAATGGCCCGCGGGCCACGAGTTTGAGACCCCTGCCTTACATCATATTTTACTAGATATTTTCAAGATACTAGTATTCAGCTTAAAGTGACATTTAAAGGCTTAACAAAGTTAATTAGGAAAGTTAGGGTAATTAGGCAAGTCATTGTATAATACTGGTTTGTTCTATAGACAATTGAAAAAATACATATTACTTAAGGGGGTTAACATTATTGACTTTGAAATAGTAAAAAAAAAAAGCTTTTACTCTAGCAGAAATACAACAAATAAGACTTTCTCTAAAAAAAAATATATATAGCAAATACTGTGAAAAATCCTTTGCTCTGTTAAACATCATTTGGGAAATATTTGAAAAAAAAAATCATAGGATGGCAAATAATTTTGACTAAGTATATGGTATTAGATGTTTCAAAATCTTTTGATCTAATATTGCTAATTAATTTACACATGAGTACAAAGGAGATCATTTCTGAAGGAAAGTATTTTGACATTTTGCAACCAATTTCAAGTTCACCTTATTCATATATGGCTATCATTTTGTCCTCCTGACCTCACCTGAAGGCTCTGCTGATTGTCAAGCCGCCAGGATTGAAGGATATTTTCTGAAGACCCTGAAATGCCTTTCTGTCTGCATACGTCAACATCTAGACTCATGACTGGCTCCGGATGAACCTTCAGAAGGCTGAATGGACGGCGATGAGAAACATCCCATAATACCACCGAGCCATCCTCATAACCGGCACATAGAACTGGACCAGAATCAGCCTGAGGAGAAAGAAACGAAGACAAGTGAAACATGAAAATAGCAGATAATAACAGAGAGGGAAGAACAGTAATAAGAAACACTGCAGAGAGAGAAACAGATGAACAGAAGCTTATGGCAGAAGTGTTTATCAGAGGTTATCACACTGCTCATGCTCAGACCAACCACAGCATTAATCATCTGATGCTCAATAACAGCACACCTCATTAGAGCAGGGCTGGCCGATATACTGCCTGTTAAAAAATATACTAAAACATACTGGATACTATACTATGCATTTATTGACAGCAAATGCTTTTATAATAATATTTATGTTTTCACTTCAATGTTTTGTTTTTTGGATTTAAATATTTATCTTGACCTAATTCATTCACCAAAGGGTCTTAGTCCCTTATTTATCAGGGGTCACCACAGTGGAATGAACCCCCAAACTATTCCAGCATGTTTTACGCAGCGGATGCCCTTCTAACTGCAACCGAGTACTGGGAAACACCCATACACTCTCACATTCACATACACTACGGCCAATTTAGTTTATTCAATTCACCTATACCGCATGTCTTTGGACTGTGGGGGAAACCAGAGCACCCGGAGGAAACCCACGTAAACATGGAAAGAACATGCAAACTCCACACAGAAATGCTAAAAATGACCCCGCAGAGGCTTGAACCAGCAACCTTCTTGCTGTGAGATGATTGTGCTACCCACTGCACCACCCTGAAGGCCTGTTTAACTATTTATAATATAATATAATATAATATAATATAATATAATATAATATAATATAATATAATATAATATAATATAATATAATAAATATAATAAATATAATATAATAATAATAATATAATAAATATAATATAATACAATATAATATAATATCATAAATATAATATAATATAATAAATATTATATAATAATAATATAATAAATATAATATAATATAATATAATACAATATAATATAATAAATATTATATAATAATAATAATATAATAAATATAATATAATATAATATAATATCATAAATATAATATAATATAATATAATAAATATTATATAATAATAATATAATAAATATTATATAATATAATATAATACAATATAATATAATATCATAAATATAATATAATATAATAATAATATAATAAATATAATATAATATATTATAATATAATATATTATAATATAATAATGCAGGGCTCAATAATAAGGACTGCCCTATTAAGATAATATAATAAGGTAAAATATTATACAATAAAATATAAAAATAATACTGAATTAAATTTAAATACAAAGCAAAATAAGAAAAAAGGTATTCACACATTACAGCATATACATGAACAGATCAAAATAAACTGAAATAATAAAAAATACAAACAATACCAACAATATTTTTGCACAGATGCAATTATCCATAATCTAATCCAATACTTCAATAATATAATATAAAAATATAGTGTAATATAATATAGTGTAATATAATATAGTTTATTTTAATTTAATGTAATATAATATAATATAATATAATATAATATATTCATTCATTAGTTTTCTTTTCAACTTAGTCCCGTATTTATCAAGGGTCCCACAGCAAATTGAACTGTCAACTATTCCGGCATAGTTTTATACAGCAGGTGGCTTTCCAGCCACAATCCAGTACTGGGAAACACCCATTCATTCACATATGCACTTAATTGAATTAACCTATAGCGTATGTCTTTGGACTTTGGGGGAAACCGGTGCACATGGAGGAAACCCACGGCAGGACGGGAAGAACATGCAAACTATACACAGAAATGCCCACTGGTCCGGACTCGAACCAGCGACATTCTTGCTGTGAGACAATAGAGCTAACCACTGAGCCACAGTGCCACCACAATATAATATTAAAAAGTATATATTTATCACAAATCAATTCCTATATAAATAAAATAAATAAAACTGAATTAAATCAAAATACAAAATAAAATATGCTAAAATCGTCTGCACACATTAAAGCATTTAAATAAAAAATATACTGATTTAAGGCAAAAAATAAAATAAAATAAAAATCACCCAGTACTATTCTAAAGCAATTGCAAGTTGCAACTGGATGAACAAATAAGTACACAGGCATATTTGCAAACAACATGACAGAAAAGTTCCCCTAATTTGCATATAACACAATTGCTTAAACACGCCACATCATTTCTTCTCCCTGAGCCTGCGCTCATTTTACCAATCCCAGTGACCTCTGACTTTCTGTTTACACTGCGTGACCTGTTTTCACTTAACCTCACCAAAAAAAAAAAAAAATCAGCTCAGGTGCATGTACATGTTTGTTTACTCAGATTTACAGCACCTCTGAGGTTCCTCGCTCATTATCTGAAGAAGAAGCGTTGAAGCTACACGGCTACACGCAGTAGGTTGTCTCATAAATCAGTTTAGCGGATAAAAGCAGAATGAAGGAGCTGATAAAAGCCTACAGTCTCATAACTCAGAACAGAGCTGCAGGCGTGCTGTCTACACAACAAGATTTACTACCCAGTGTCCTTTCCCTCCTTACACACACACACACACACACACACACACACACACACACACACACACACACACACACACACACACACACACACACACACACACACACACACACACACACACACACACACACACACACACACACACACACACACACACACACACACACACACACACACACACACACCTTCAAGCAGATCATTCATCTCCTTGTGCAAGTGACAACACAGAGGTGGCATTTAACTCACTTGATTTTCAATGAAATATGCAAATATCAATCTTAATTTAAAATTATATACATGTTTAAATAGTTTAATAATAATATTCCCCAGAGATGGGCTGCAGCTGGAAGGGTATCCGCTGCGTAAAACATATGCTGGATAAGTTGGCGGTTCATTCTGCAGGGGTGACCCCAGAATAATAAAGGGACTAGGCCGAAAATGAATCAATGAATGAGTTTAAGAAATATACAATCACTGTTTACACTGAATTGTTTTCATATGTTTATAAACAAAATTATTTTAGATGCGCTACAGTTCAAAAGTGTGGTAGTTTTTTTTGGTCTTGCATTTGTTTTTACATGCATCCACACTACCTGCCAAAAGTCTTGTCATTGATCCCAGCTGAGAGCAACAAATAATAACTTGACTTCTAGTTAATCATTTAAAAGTGGCAGAAGGTCGATTTTTCGGATCAATCATCTGTTGAACTGCATCCCAATCATCACAAATACTGCGGAAGACCTACGGGAACCCACATGAACCCAAGATTCTCACAGATATCAGTCCAGTTTGGTGAAAGAAAAATCATGGTTTGGGGTTGCATTCAGTATGGGGGTGTGCGAGAGATCTGCAGAGTGGATGGTAACATCAACAGTCTGAGGTATCTAGAAATTTGTGCTGCACATAACGTTAAAAACCACAGGAGAGGGAAAATTCTTCAGCAGGATAGCACTCCTTCTCATACTTCAGCCTTCACATCAAAGTTCCTGAAAGCAAAGAAGGTCAAGGTGCTACAGGACTGGCCTGCCCAGTCACAGGACATGAACATTATTGAGCATGTCTGGGGTAAATGGAGGCATTGAAGACTTTTGTCTTAGCAATGTCAGACCTTACCGTCCTAATTAAATAATTAAAAAACAAGGCATGGTCATATTTGGTTTTGGTAAAGTAAGGGCAATCTAGAAGCCTTTGCCTTTCATATAAGTTACTTCTGATACCAAATGATCAACTAGAAGTGAAGCTATTATTTATTACATTTTTACAAGCCAACAACCTTTTAAGGCTACAGCAAAAAAACTTTGTATTTAGGGTCAGTAAATGTTTTTTATTTAAATTATTTAAGTTCTGAAAGAAATGTATATCTTTATTCAACAAGTATGCATTCGATTGACTGTAAATGTCTTCACTATCACTTTTCAGAGACATGAATGCATGAAACTACAAGCAATATTAAATTAATCATTTTCTCTTGAACTGTTATTCATTGAATCCTGAACGCACATCCTAGAATTTGTTCCTTAATTCATCAGGGGTAACCACAGTGGAATGAACCTTACCCAGGATTTGTTTTCCACAGTGGATGCCTTTCCAGCTGCAACCCAGTACTGGGAAACATCCATACACACTCATTCTCAAACAGACTACGGCCAATTTAGTTTATTCAATTCACCAATAGCACATGTCTTTAGACTGTGGGGAAAATAGCAGTACGCGGAGAAAACCCATGCAAACACAGGGGTGCCAACTGACCCAGCCGGGACTCAAACCAGGTACCTTCTTACTTTGACGCGACAGTGCTAAGCACAGAGCCACCATGTCATCAAAAGCAATCTTGGTAAATATATATATATTTTTAAACATGTTCAAAGGTCTTAGGTGCCATTTACACTAATGTGTTTTTGCATTCATGTAAAATGTATAAGTGGTGTTATGATTCCCCCTTGCGTCCACACTACTTCGGGATCTTCAACCTTTGAAAATTGAGCATTTTGAAAACACAGAAGCTCCCATTTTAACTTAAAAACGCTGGCGATTTGTTTCAGTATAGATGGAAAGAAATCCCAACTTTAAATTCAGATAAGCAGCTATCACATTCTCTTCCTGACTGCTTTTCAGGACTATTGCATACTGTTCTATAAAAAATAAAAAAATAAATAAACAAATTGGACTGATTCGTCAAGCTGCTCAAAAATGACCATTGCACATAGACTGCAAGTACGGATACCAGCAAATATGCACATACGAACGACAAATATGGCAGTTCAAAGACAATGTGAATTGTCAGGTATCACACATTTTACATTGTATAGATGTGGACAGATTTCATTTTTCTTAAACCCAATAAAAAAACGGCAGTATAGACAAGGAACATCGTTTTGAAACGGAAATGCACAATTGTAAATGGCACCTTATTGTCCCAGATTATCATACACGCATTCATTTTTCTTCAGCTTTGTCCCTAATTAACAGGGGTCGCCA